TTAACCTTCATGGTGTATTTGAGTGACATCTTTCAAACTTGGTAGACATCCTGTGTGGTGTGACAAATGCATCAAGTGAGCAACAGTCTGTCAAGGTAGCTCTTTGCCTTCTGTATGGTAGAAAAGTCCATACACCATTCTCTTTTAGTGACTTGGAACCAAGTGCAGTTTTCAGATGTGCCTAATGACTCATGGACTCTCAGTTGTATGTAATTCAGCATTTCTGAAAGCTGAATCTGTTTGCTAGTGAAGTCACAGTGAATGTTTAAAAGATTCTGAAACTAGCTTCATTTAATAAAGCAAGTTTCAAATAGTTTATTTTTACTCTGTGTGCATGTGCAATCGGAGTACATAATTTAATTCTGAAAGGTAAGGTTGTGCAGGATTTTAAAATTCAAACTAAACTTTGGTACTAAAACTTAGTGGGGGGGTAGCTGGAAACTGAAGTTCCTCTTGCTTTTGTACTGAGACACTGGGTCTTCCTGGTCAACACTAGTAGACCAAGCTAGTATGCCCAGTTGAAAATTAGTATGATGTACTCTGTAGGAGTTCAGTGTTTCCAAATACCTGTTATTTAAAAGCAACTTCAATTACCACTGAAATTTTATTTAACTTGTATGGGACCAATTGCACATGTAACAATCAAGGCTTATATTGCAGTTAAATTGTCTTATACATTTTTCTCTTCATAACTAGTACTGGAAAATAACTTTCACTATATCCTAGAAATACTTCTAGGTACTACATGTTCACAAGTTTGTTTCCAAATCTAAACAAAGTCGGTCTTTGGTTTGGATGTTGACAATTTCTCTGAGGGATAGCTTGGCACCAGGTTTTCTTTATTTTTACTTTAGCCTCTTGGTTTTGGAGTCAGACTAAAGTATTGTAAAAATACAATTTGAAGTAATTAAGAATGTGTTTTTTATATTGAAAGAATAACTTGGATATTAAACTAAAGCAATCTAAATTTACTTGCATAAACTAAGGATTGCTGACATACGAAGCATTGCAACAGTGCATGTATAGATAATAGCTTTGTTTAAATAGCATCAGAGGTCCCACTTGTTTGGGCCATGTATATTTTGGTACTGTGTAGTAGATCCATGAGTGCATAACTGTTCTAAAATCTCAGCTTTAAGCTTTTGGGTTTTTTTAAGTCAATATACCACAATATTGTGAAACATTAACTGAGGTAGTATTTCCTTCCTAAGGCTGCAGATATAACTTTAACTAGAGTTGCGAAATAACGAATTCCATCTCAGTTTTGTATTAACTCCAAATATGAAGACATGCTATATCATGAACATTAACTATTGCAGATCACTTCATCAAATATTCACATATCCCAAACCTCACAAAGAATAGTTCCCAAATCAAGTCTTCATTTCTAAATACTTCCTAGTGTAGGTAATAAATGCTGCTGCAAGCCCCTACCGTCTGTAGCTGCCTGATCTCTTACATTATAAGCAGCTGAAACCATGATCTTTAGTCTTAATCCATTTAAGCTGAAGTTTCCATGTCTTTGTCAACATGGTTCATTTTGGAATGTCATTAGCTGAAGTTATTCCATGGCTAAGACTAAGCAGAATATATTTTGAAAAGTGATCTTTTCTTTCCAAATCTCTCCTGCCCCTATGGTGTGTAATAGGTACTTTTGGGTTGCAGGTTTGCCATTTGCTATCTTAAAAAAAAAAAAGGGGGGGGGGGGCAGGAGAGGCTGCCTCATACCTGTACAGTAAGGTTCACTGATGCATCCATCCATGTTGTTATCGGCACTGGTAAAGGAAAATTGACATTATTGGCAATCAGCCTTTTTTTGGCTGATGTGGCTGATAATGTCACTGAAAAATGTCACATGCACGTGTGCAACTGCAGCATGCACACAGCCCAGCAGCTTGGAGAGCAGTATCTAGCTGGCAAGTCTATGAAGGAGGGGGTGGAAAGGGGCATGGGGGCACAGATTGAGGTCCCCATGGTGAGGGAGGGAGTGGGGCTGGGGCAAGTGCTGCCTATTGCAGGGGGGACACATGCCTTCTCCCCCCCCCCCATCTATGGGGCAAGGGTGGGCTGCATGCTCAGTGCCAAGGGCTGCATTGGGCTCTTCTGGCGGGGGCTGTGCTGGGGCTGCACTTGGGGTGGGTGGGGTTGGGGCAGGTGGCAGCAATGTTGGCAGGGGGAGCTACAAGGGGGCCTACAGTGAATTTTGGTGTGGCTGTAGCCCAATGCATAGACCCCTGCCTGCCCCAAATAGAGCCCTGGCCCAGCCCTGCTGGGAAGAGCCCATCACAGCCCCTGGCCTACAGGAGGCAGCTCACCTTCACCCCATGCGTAGATCCACGGGGCACATGCTTCCTCCCTGGGGTGCACACAGCAGCAGGAGCTGTCCTTTAACCCCTGCTTTCCCTGCCTCACCCTTACCCCCGATGAACCACCCAGGCTCTGTCCTGTACCCTGTCCTGCCCTGGCTGGGCAGCCCCTGCCCAACCCCACTCCCTCACTGTGGGGACCCTCAATTTTCTTCCCCCCCTTCCCTCCCAACAGACTTACTAGCCTGATGCTGCTTTCCAAGTTATGAGGCTGCATATCAGCAATCCAACTGGTATTGGCTGATACGGCTGGTCAATAATCCACCATTTGTATTGACCCAGAAACTCCTTATCAGTGTACCCCAACATGCTCAGAAATTTAGTATAGTGTAACAGCTAAAATATCTGGAGAGTCCATCCAGATGGTGTGCTGTAGGATATTGGAGCTCAAGAGTGCTGACCACGCTTCATATTCACACCATTCCTCACAGCGAACATCTTGTAGATGTCCTCGGACTCCACTTGGCTGCTTAGTGGGCAGGCTTCAAGAGAAGGGTGCGGGGGTGCTTTTAAACTGCAAGCCTTTAGCTTGCTGGCTAGGGTCCTTGACTAAGTGGAAGATGTAGGTCCAAACCCCCCCTTGATAAAGAGGGAAAACTGTTCCCTGGGTCTTCCACTCCTTGGACAAGCAACCCTAACTAGTAATCTTTTGGGCTAAAAGGTATTAAATGGTAGGAATTTACATATTTGCAGCTAGTATTTTGAGGGCTTACATGGCAGGGGGGATATAGAATCATAGCAAAGTAGGGCTGGTGGGGAGCTCAGGGTGAGGTCCAGACCATGCCACCCCCAGTGCTCCTTCCTGCCCATGGCAGGGGGTCGGACTAGATGATCTGTCTAGGTCCCTTCTGACTCATTGATTCTATGAGGGCACACAGTGCAGTGGGGGTATCTACATGCTATTTGGCCCCCAGCCCTGTAAGTTGGACAGCCCTGCTTTAAAGCACTTTTGGTGTCTTAACCCCATGGTTTTCAACCTTGTTTCACTTGTGGACCCCCTAAAAAGAAAAAAAATGAATGGATATGCAGATCACTTTGAATTGTAAGTGTGGATTTTTTATAATCACTTTTTTCAGACTAAGAAATAGTCTGGCGATCCCTAGGGTCTGCAGACCACAAGTTGAAAACCACTGCCGTAACCTGCTGCAGGTAAAGCAGCAGGATGAGGACTGTCATTGTGTCCTCCTGCTGCAGTGGTTGTTAAAATATGTTTGAGTTCCAGGTTAGTAAAATATTGAAGTTTTTTGAGTGGCCCAAAATGCTACTTACTGGGCTAATTTTAGTCGTATACAATTGGAATCAGATTTCAGTTTCTAACTGAAAGCAAACAAGTAAAAAATATTCTTCATAATATGTTTAGGTGAAATAACTAGCCGGCTTGTGGTATGATGGACACTAAATGCAAAACCAATCAAATTGCTTGTATCTTTACTGAAAAACAGCAATAGGTAGAAGTAAAACCAAGGGCCTTCAGCATAGTAGTCTTCAGATCCTCCTAAGAAATGGGAACATCAGGGTAGAGAGTTTTAGGAAATTCAAGTGAGAGAAGATCAAACATACAAAACTTTTGCCTGTTCGTTAGGGCTATTTGCTTGGAAAATGCTAATCTGTATTAAGCGCAGGCATTTAAGCACTACTTTGTAAAGATTTTAAAGTTTATCATGGGGAAGGCTTAGGAAGCTCATTCTGGCTTTTCTCCCTACTTACAGTTAGCATTGTCTAGACGGAAATGTCATTGAGGACCATCCTTAGTGAATTATGGACTGACTTCTCGTGTCAAAACCAATATTACATCCCTGTGGCTATTGCAATACCTGCTTATGTAGGTATGCTTCCCAGTGTTTTGAGAGCAATTCAGTACATGAAATCTAGTACTGTGCAACTAGTGACAGTGACTTTAGTAATTCCTTTATTCTATGTAAAAACCAAGTAGAGGAAATAAATTATGTAGTTCTAGCATTGACTGTTTTTATGCTACTTCAAAATATCACTTGTACTTTGCTGCATTGCACATCAATTATAAATCTCTTAAAGTAACTATCCTACTATTTAACATTTTGTCTTTTTGGGTGGACTTCTGTGTCAGAAACTGAATCTCTTGATTTTTGGCTATATAGCGTACTCTTGAACACTGCAGATAGACTAAATTTGAGCTCTTATTCTTTATCACAGTGTTAAAATATAAAGTTTCCATTGAAACATCAAGCAAATGACTGATAGCAACTTAAAATTACTTCAATAATGAGATGCTCAAGTGATAAATTAGTATGTAAAACAGTTAGTATCTTAAATGTCTTAATACGTTATACCAGGTCATAAGAAATGGGACATCCACAGGGTCCATCAGAAGCTTGTTACTTAGGTTTTATTTGGTAAGAATTTTTACTTGCGTCAACAGGCAGAATCTAGTAAGTACAGTTCAGTTAATGCTTTTGTAGTTGATTTGAATGATTGGTCTGTAATATTTACTGTAGAAGTAACTGTGAACACAGCATGGTTTTGGAATAGCACTTATTCAGATTGTGCTTTAAAGCAAAATGCCTTGTTTCTTTGAAACCGGTTCTTAAAGAAACTATCTAGTCTAAAAACTCAGTCTGAATAATATCTGGATTCTTACTATTAAATCATTCTGTTTTCAGAAGTTAGTCAAACAAATGTCTGAATACCAAAGGGAATTGGAAATTCGGTTTCAGCTTCACACTACTGTGATGGTGTATCAAACGAGAAGACTTGGTCTTCAGAAGAACATACTTACAAGTTGAATTTCAAACATTGGGTAAAGTATACAATTTTATACAAAGGCATGCAACTCAATTTAGTTAGGTTAAAATAATTGAGTGGCTTCTCATGCTATAGCTTTTAAGCCTCCAGTCAACTTTTTTGAGTTTAGCCTCTTTTTCCTGTTTCTCTGTAAAATACTTTCACAAATTGAGGAGCCAGCTGAAAGTAAACTAGAATTTTTTTCCTTATGCAGTACTCCTAACTACAGTAGGAAAAGATTTGGACAGAAGTAGTAGTTTCAAGCTGATGGTATGTATGTATGTGTTTTAAATATCCCCCTCAAAGCCAGTGAATGATCTTTAGTTACAAAAACATTCTCCCGTCTAGTAAGCAGTTGGTGTTTATAATAAACTTTAACTTAATACTTTACAGCCTTTGAAATGAATAGTAGCTCACCTTGTTTCTTAATTATAATTGAGCATATTTAGCTGATAGGCAAGGAAGTACAAGGCCTACATATTGGTCAACTACTGTTATGGTTATATGAATTAATTCCTTGAACCATGCATAAACAACTACTGAAGAAGTTGAAATATATTAGCCTGTAACAATGTGCTTCTGGAGATAAGGCTATTTTGAAGAGATAAGGGACACTTTTTCCTCCAAATACCATGTGGTAAGAAGTAGTTTCGTACTTGTATGAAAGTCTTCTGGTATTCAATTAAATAGATTTTACTCCAGTACCTTGGATCAGTAAAAATGTTGCTTGATCTGATAGTCAAATTGTACTGAACATGGAGCCACATAAATAATTTGTTGCCTTTTCAAAAGGTTTTATAGATTTATTTTTTTCCCCACACTAGAAACTTTTGTAGCAGTGTAAAATGACCTATACCAGTACAACTTATCTTAAACTTGAGTAAGCTGTATTACTGCAAATGTTTATTGTTGTAAGGCATAATCTTTTGTGCAGAAAAGTCCTCAGTTTAATAGTTCTAAGGGGTTTTCATGTGTGTTTTTTCCCGTGTACTTGGGAGCCCTTCCCATTACTGATATAGAAAAGGGTTTCACACAGCTGCAATCCACCTTGTTTATACATTAAGTGGTATCCTGTACTGCAGGCAAGTGTAGAACAAATCAAGATTTTGCTGATCGTGATTCTCAAGGGCATAGCTCCATTTGGCAAGGAAAATCCTCACCTACTTAGCTCAAACACAAAATTGAATGCTTGGCTGGAGGTAGGGTGGATTGCCACTGTTGACGAACTATTTCTTCTGAAATAATAGAGGCACTTAGCTTTTTAATAAGATTGTAAAACTTGTAAACTTTACCTTTTTTCAATTCCCTGAACTTTGCTGCTGAAACTTCATAATGAATTGAATGTACCCAAAAGGCTCAGCCTCAGACAATTCAAGTTTCAAGGCTACTGTGTTAGGCACTTATTGCAAATGCAAGACTATCATGCACTGACATACATGAGTTAGCTGTTGGGGGGGGAAAAAAAATCCCTTCTCCCCCTTCATTTGACATTCACTGTTAGTGACTATAAAACAGAAAGCCTTTATGTAGTGGAATCTTCCAGTTCATGCTTGACAAATGCTAAAGTTAGATAGTAATGTAGAAGATCGTAGTGTATTTTAGTAGTGCCCACCTTTTTACCTTTTTATACAGCATTTCCCAAACATCTTTCTGGCATGTATTCAGCAACTTGCTGCATTCTTGGAGAAATACAGTGATTTGGCTGTCAGTAGCAGATGTCATTAATCTTAACACTTGAAAAATGCAGTCAGTCTCTCGGTTGACTTTCTTAATTAGTTGCAGTTGTGTTATTGCTTTAGATGGTAAACCACCCACTACAAAACTGTGTATTGACTGGGACAAATGAGGAAAGATAACACTTATCAGAGCTGTAGCATTATGCAGTAATATGTTCTTGAATAAATGTCTGAACTGCCTAGAGGCTAGAAATAAATGAAGATTAAGGTTTGTTTGTTTTTTACCACCTTTGTCATCACAGTACATATTGAACTCCTGTTTTTCCCTAGCACAAAATGTGAATATACAGGTATTCAAGCAGTGTTGTGGGGCTTTTTGTGAGGGGGGTATCTAGCAATTCTGTCACAAACTGGTTTTAAACATTAGTTTTGTTGTTTCCTAGCACTATGTGTAATCCCTGTTCAGTTCTTATATACCAAAATGAGAGAGTCCTAAAGACTCCTCCTTTCCCCCTCCCCTGTCCAAATATCCCATAGTTGTCTTTTTCTTGCTCTCTCACCTGCCGTATGGCAGGTTGTCAGGGAGCCATTCCTTCACCCTAGTCCTCTGGGGTTGAGGAACTTACTGACGCTACGGGGGCTCTGGCAGTGACTACTGGAACTGTCAGGTGTGAGGAGAGCAGTTCTCACTCCTGCTACCACTATGGATGGAGGGCTGTCCTTGGTTGGTGCCTTTTCAGCTGCTGTTGATGGCATGTTCCCTGCTCCCAGCAGTGGAGAAGACAGGCTGAGCCCAGAAGCAGGCTACTGTCACCCATGGCTAGAGACCTCTGCTTTGTGGCTTTGTAGTTTTCCTTCTGTGGGGCTAGAATGGTCATATGTTTCCCTTGTCACACTTGTCCTGCTGCAGATAAACACCTGCCCATATCCAGAATGTGTGCTTTTCTGTCCTTGCATCCATTATTGGCCTGCTGTTCAGCAATAGTTACAAATCAGTTGCAAGTTTATAAAATAAAAGGTAGGGCAAACTAGAATTTTAGAGTGTTTAGCGGCACAGATATGTTATTTGTAATGCCTAGGAAACCTAGGCAGAGGCTAGAATTCAGTTTTTTTTCCCAGGTGCTTTAGAAAAAGTGCAACACAGTTCTTGTCCTATTAATTCAACAATTTGAGGCAAATTATGCATGAGTAGGGCCAGGACAGTGGTCAGCACTCCCTTCTCTTTGCTTCTGGCCATGCTGAGAAGCACTGCTGTCTTCCTTCAGAATCAAGCCTGTGGGGTGCCTTTGGTAGAAAGTGGTGCTGAAACCTAAGGCTACTGCATTATCTCTGTGCTAAATAAATGAGTGGAAATAAATAGTGGAAATCAGGCCTTTATTGGCTTCCACTCCATTCTGACTTCTTTCTCTCTCTCTCTCTCTTTCAAATTGGCATCAGTATACTGCTTCACTTGGCCAACCAGGAAATAATGCGTGTAGAACATCAGCAGGAACCATTTATCTCAATGTAGGCACTAATTGCTAGTTATTAGATTAGTAGAAAAATAATTAATCAGACTTGCCTATTAACATCCCACTCTGGTGTCAAGGCAAATCATTCTTTAATTGGCAAAATGAATAAATGCTTCAGTTCACCAGAATGCAGTTAACTTGCTCTTGCATTTTCATTCCTTTCACTATACCCCTGAATCCACATTTTACAAAACATCAAATATTTTTATTTCTAGTTGACTATAAATTTTGACGGTGCTTTCATTGTTGAGCTGTAAATTGGTTAAATAGATTGTGCTGAAATCAAATTCAACATCAGTGACTTTCCTCCCAGATTTTTGCTGATAATTCTGTTTCCCTTCATGTATGCTCATAACCTTTATGTGCTGTCATAGAGTTGTTTTATAATGCAATCCTGCTTCTTACTTTAAGCATTGAATTTCTCCCAGTGAAACATGCCCCTTCTCATGAGAGTGAATGGCTGTATGCTCCCCTCCCTTGTCTGGATTGGATGGCAGGTTTTCTCTGCAGGAATCTTGGTTTTAACCTTTAAACTCTATTGCCTTTACTTACACATTTAAGAAAATTGCATAAAATATAATGTTGTGCATTGAACTTGGATCAAGAACGAAGTAATCACCAATAGTTGAGGGGGGGATAGCTAATGCTTATTTGTAGTTATTACCCAAGCTAACACTTTTTAAGGCCATCAAAGTTGGACTGTTTTATAATAGTCTGTTTTTCTGTGTTTTTGTTTTGAAAATGCGCTCATGTTTTCTTTTTCTGAGAGAATATCCTGTAATATTCAGGCTTGCTTAAATGCTCAGGCTTGTTCACAGCTTGGGTCTTATGGCCCCATCATAGCTGGGCTGTAACTGCAAGTCAGCATAAGTGAGCAGCTGAGAGTTGGCTCAGGCCTGGGGCTTTGAGATGGGGACTATATTTACTCCCAACCCTGTCGTGTCTAGGCTGCAGCTTTGTGGATGGGGCCGCAAGTAGATTAAAACCTAGTCCCTGGAGGAATGGACAGGTTGTACTTTCCTGGGGCTGTATTCTGACTGCCCACCCTCTTACTTTCTCCTCCTTTCCTCTTTGGAGGGGGTGGGGGTGTGATAGAGCAGTGCTGGATGCTGAGGGGGCTGATATGCTGGTGCAGTGACGTTACATGTAGTGCTACAGAACCTAGCACGATAGAAGCTCACTTCATCCAGGAACACTTGTAGCACTACAGAAGCTGTGCACCTATGTCCCGTTGGTGTGTTTGCTGCAAATGTAACAGCTGTCTATGCCTTTGCACTAGGGAAACTTTTGGCTCGTTTTAGTGGTTTTCCACCTTTTTAAACTAAAGGCACCCCTCCAAGGAGGAGTTGGGTGGAGCGGGGCTAGATTGGGAAGTGCTGCAGCAAGAGAGTGCTCCTGCCTGCGTTAGGCTTATCAAATAAACATAATTTGAACAAAAAGAACACACTTTTTTTCTTCTGCAGCTGCTTACTGATCTGGCTTTGCAGAAGTTGCCTGGGACAGGTTCACCTGGTTGGTGGTAACACCCATGCTGGCTGTAATTGCACAGTGGCACTCAAAGTCTCATAAAACTAAAGTTGAGAACCATTGTCCTAGAGCCTAGAGGCTTTAGTTTCCAGTGCCATCACAGAGCTGTGATTTTAAACATGAGCATTTTGATTCCTATCCTAGTATTAAGATAGGGACTATATTCACTCCCTGCCCTGTGTAATGCCTGTATTCTATATTCATTAACCTAAAAATTCAAAACCTAAATTAAAAATTTACAAGACAAAACACAAGCCTAAAGAATTTGAAAGATACACAGGCAAGCAGGGGCCATGCGTGGTGTGGTGCGGTGTGGCCAGTGTGCAGCTCCCAGGACAAAGGCAGCAGAGCAGCAGCCCACCCATGCCTGCCCCAGGGGTGTGCACAGCAGCAGAGAGTCACACCCCTCAACACCTCCGGATGAGTCTCCTGCAGCTCCATCCCATGATTTGCTCTGGCCCTGGGGCTCCTTTTGCCCCACCCCACTCCCTCTATGACTGTGGGGGGGCCTCACTTTTTTTTCTCTCTCCTCTCCCCAGCCCCTTCCCTCTCTGTAGACTTACCTGTTGGGTGCTGCTCTGCATGCCATGGGACTGCATTCCTGCAGGGTTAACATATTTCCTGTTTCAAAAGAGAACACCTGTGGCGGGGGGAGGCTAATATGATGTGGGGGTTGCAGCGATATGCCTGTACCTTGCCACTGCCCCTTACTCCCAAGCCACAGTTCCCTGCATCCTGCCAGGGTATGCAGGGACACCCCCTAAGTTCCAAACTCCCACCCTTCAACCATACAAAACAACCACATAATTTTGAGTTCAGCTGTGTGATTAAAATTGCGATTCATTGTGATTTTTTTTTTAATCTCAATCAAATCTTTAAATAACTTTATAGCCCTAATATGCATGAACTTGAAATTGCTGACTTACAAATACTGTATGTTGACCTGGTTGATTACTGTATGAATATACTGGTCTAGTCTAATAGGAGTTTGAAAAGTAGGACGGTGTGAAGATATTCCAGGGCAGAAAGTTCTGCACCCCACAGAGACTAGCTTAGTAGGTTTGAAAGAACTGTTTTTCATAGAGAAAGAAACAAAGAAATCTTGAAAACCTAAAGATTCAGACATCCTACCAAGTGCCTACAGAAATCTGTTACTCCAGCACTAGGCGATGGAAAGCCTAGATGTGTATAAAACATCTGGGTTTTTCCAAGTACTTTCTGTCTTTTACTGCCTGTCTACTTCTGGATTTGTCTGTCTTCCCCCTGATGCATTTAACTAACTGATGGTGAGAAATCCACAGGTACCAAATTTTTTAGTAGATGATTAAAGCAGCTGTCCATAGTATACAAAAATCTGATGCTCTGCTTTGAGTGGAAGAATTACAGAACTTTGTTCTGGGGTGGGTAAAGGCAAATGCCTGACCCTGAGGTGATGCAGTTGGAGGAGGAACGAGTGCAGCTAACGTTCTCATAGTGGAAGGGACTGTTACTGACTTTTTAAATGTATCCAGCTGAGGAGCTAAAACTTAATTTCATGTCAAATAATATCTACCCTTCTGGCACAGTTTGGCTTTTGTTGCTCATTTCATGAACAACTGGAAATAATCAACTGTAGTATGGGTTACTTTAAAAATTCTTCTAGTATTAGGCTTAATTTTAAAGTAACTAGCTTGTGGTATACCTGTCATTCCTTAAGAAATTAGCTTTATTGACTGCAGTAGTTCAGTATTGCGGGGGGGAGGCACTTCTGAATATGTTCATATATTAAAAATGCATAGTTTATCTACTGTAACTTGTCATGGAATGTGCAGTAAATGTAAAAAGTGTAACTTAAGTGACACTGAAAACATTTGTCAGTTGCATTAAATTAATTTAGGAGAAGTTTTGAGAGGCTGTAATCAATAGCACTCTTTACACAGACCAGGAGGTTGTACCAGTCTTTTGAGAACATGTGAAAATACTCCCTATTCTCCAGAATATTTGTCGGACATGCCATGCCTTTAGATATTTTTGGTCTTGACAAACTTTGTCCATTCTTGTCCCACCCAAACAAGCAAGCTATCTAAATAGCTAAACTTCAATGATTATGGGGTGGCACTTATAATACTAGTAGGACTACACATTGTTTAACCTTGAAGGCAAACAAAGCGGTTCAGTTACTGTTTGTCAAAAAGCTGCTGCTTAGAGTAGCACGAGACAAATCTCAAACTCTATATATACACTGTGACAAGCTAAAAGAAAAATCTGCTTTAGCTCACAAAAGCAAATTATTTCTTGTATTAAGTGGATAATATCTCATCACATTGGCATGTAAAATGACAGCTTATGACTCCCTGCTATTCCACTTGACTCATCAGTGGAATTAGATGTTCATTTCTGTTAATGTAATGGAGCTCTGGTCTCTGTGCTTAACACTGTCTAGAAATAGTCTAGGATGCTCCAAAATACCTGTCAAGACAGATGGAAGAAGTATTCCCATTTTATAATGGGACAGCAATCAACAGTTATGCCCAAAGTCACAAGGCTACTTTATTTAACCACATAATGGAGGTGATTTCTATTCAAGACCATGCTTATTAATAACCTATGATTTTGCAACTTACATGGAGAATAGTGGGTTAGGTGCACTGCAACTAAAATGTCTAGTGTCTTGAATTCAGAATTTTCTATCTGCAGAACATGAGCCAGGCTTTACCAACTAGTTGCTGATTTGCTCATTTGGTTTTGTTGTGATTATATAACAGATATGGGTGTTGGGGGTCTAGTGCCAAAGAAAGAGCTAACTTGTTCATATTTCTGTTTCTCAGTGCAGTTGACTGAAAGGATTAGTGCTGTCTTACTATGTACAAGTAAATTAATACTTTGCATTCTTCATCTGCAAGCATTATTAAAATGTAAATACAGAGTAAATTGGTTCATGGAAAAAGTCTCAACTTGGTCTTATGGAATTAAGTTAATTGGATAGTGTGGAAACATGCATTGCCTGAAAAAGAGAATAGCTGGCTATAACTTAACTTAAAAAAAAAATTCAATTAAGCTCAAGGCAACTCAAGAAAAAGGTATAAACAGCTATCTATAACCAGTTCTGCTAATCTGAGTGGGGCAGGAAACCGTTATTTAACAATATAGTTTAAAATTCTGATTGAGACACTTATTTTGGCTTTGCCACTCTAAATATTTAGTGTTTTTTTTATTTCAAATGGCATTCTTCTATCTTAATATATGGAATGAAAAAAGTCTTTGGCAAGACATCCTCTCAATATTGTGTATTTAACTTAATGACTTTTTTTTCTTTTACAGGTTTGAGTGGGACAAACTTTTGGAGAATGTGCATTGTTTGATCATAAGTGTGACAAAAACTGACAAGCAGGAAGCTTATGTACTCAGGTAAGCTTGTCTTTCCAGGAGATGCTTTGTTTTTCCAGAAGCATACATAATGGTATCTCTTCTAAGAAAGTTCTAGTTTCCTTCCAGTTTTACTGGATGACTGCATCTTGCAGGGTTTGTTAATGACTGATATATGCAAACAAAGTCAGAATGATTTTTTTTTTCAATATCTGTACTGTTACTTGCTTTTCAACATCTCAAAGGATTAAAGAACTAGCTTAATGCCAGTCTCCATCTTTGGGCAGGGGGCTGGACCAGATCTTGTGAAGTCCCTTCCAGCCCTAATGTCTGTGAAATCTCTTGCCTCCATCCCATCTACTGATCTAGTAGATCAGTAGGAGTCCCAAATGAAGAGCTCTTGTAAAAATGTACTTGGACTATGTTCAGTAGCGAGATGCATTTCAGAATAGCAGCTGCAGGAAGAATGGCTAAATTTTTAATTTCAAAGCTTGTGTGTATGCGGAATGGTACAAATTTGGCTCAACCATTTTAAAATGTAAACAGAATTATTAAACTGAGGACACTTTATAAGACTCCACAGCTTTTCTGACAGCTTAGGGATTCTTCCTTCTTGTACATGTAGCACAGTTGGAGATCTTGGCCAGCTTACACCAAGAAAATCTACCAGTTGGGTTTTTTTCTGCGTCCAAGATTAAGGCAAAAGAAGCCTGGGGTAGGAGACTGGCAAATAAGTTGCATTGGGGAAACCTCCAGCCTCTCCACAGATTTAACTGCATCATTTATTACAAATTGGTGTCTAACTGTATGCAATTGTACCTTTCAACTTTTTAAACCATATTTTGTGCAGAGTTGCTCTTTCCTGGCCCTAACTTTATTTATATTTTAGCCCTTCCCCTCTCCCTCCCCAAGCCCAGCTGAAAAACTTACAGACTGGGGGTTCCCAACCCCCAGGCCACAGTCCGGTACTGGGCTGCAAAGGGTTGGCTGCCAGTTGACAGGAGGGTAGGTTGCCAGTGTGGAGGTCTGGAAGTGTCTGCAGTATACCAGCCTGGCAGCCAACCCTTCTTATACTAAGTATAAAAAAAAAAAAAAAGGGGGGGGCTACCTGCGGCATAAAAAGGTTGGGAACCCCCGTTATAGAGAGTGGCATAAGCAGAGTTGGTGCCTAGGGAAAAACCCTATTGGAGTATGTGGGGGAACAGCAGCCTTTCCCATACTGGGAATTCCTAAACAATCTTAGCTGAGCTGTTGCTGCTGCACATGATCAGCCTCCCCCTGTATTTGCTCTTAAAGCAGCAGTAACTGGGAACTTCTTACGGGTTTGTGGACAAACTGACAAAATTCAGACTCTTCAGTGGTAGGGGAAACTTCAGTGCCCTTCCTAACATGACACCTGGGGCAAGTGCCCCCCTTGCTCACCCCTAGTTATGCTCTTGTTTATGGGACCTACTCTCATATTTATACAAAGGTCCCTTAAACTTGCTGTAGAGTTAAGGGACCATGAAATAGAAGTAATGAGATCTATGCCCAGTTTTCTCTACAGCACACAAGGATCGACATAAATGAATCTGCAACTAAAAACTTGGGTCAGGATTTGAGTAGTAGTATACAATATATTTGATAAATAGTTTCTTTTGTGTGTAGCTGTATAATGCCCACATTCTTTACAAACATGCCTATTCTATGTACAACTATCTTTAGTTCATTTTTCATTAAAAAAAGTATGATTTGTTTTCCAACAGACTTCATTTCTTCACTTCCTAATGTTTTATAAAGCTCACTGGTCTAAGTCTCATTTTAGAAAAGATGCTTTGATAACAAAAGTGGTGTTGTAGCTTGGGTGTGGCCAGCCTGCAGCAGGTAGTCCACACATGGTTCAGGTGGTCTGTGTATAGCATGTAGTAGACAAGGCAGGGAGTAGAAAGGAGACTGGGCAAGGAAGGGGGTATTCAAGGAGGTGTTTACCCTGTAGCATACCTGCTAAAATGCTTTGCTGTACCTCATGCTTTCCTAATAGGAAGAGAAGTTTGTGTTGTCTTGCTATCTTTAAAAGTGATTTAATTTGTTACCATAGTGAAGATTGAGGAAAGAAGATGCCTTAGTGTTTTGTTTAGTCACTTTATATATTGGATACAGTGGTCAAACTAATCTCATCTGAAACAACGCTGTGAAAATGTGCATCACATCAGATTACTCAGTTTAGTCTCTGGTTTTTACCAGTAAATATCCATCTTGGAAGAATGCTAGGCTTAAGCTTTCTATAGACTGTATTTACTAATTAGAATTAGTTTGTTAAATAAGTCTGTCTTCGTAGAACTGCTTATGCTGACTCGTATGTGAATGTTTGTCTCTCTCATTTGTTTTGAAGTCCATCTCTGTGAGGGCAGTAAATGTTAGACCTAAGCTTGTTCAGCTGCTGCTTTATTCAGAAAGGGGTATAATAATTCTTTAATTTAGAACTTATCTCATGCTGGGCTAAAGATTCTTGCCTAGTTATCTATGGTGCATTATTGAAATCTGAAGTAAAGATTTTTTTTTCCAAAGGTGACTTGACTGCCTAATCTGACACCTTGAAGTAATCTGTTTAAGGTCACATTTGCTCATAGCATTAAGTATCCATCATCTGAAAATAGAGGTGGGGTGATGCAGAATATCTAGTTGGACACCTGAAAATTTGAAAGTCTTGGGTGAAGTCTGTTTGGCACAAGGCATATTACTAAAATTTACAAAAATTAGTATCTTTATTGGTTAGTCTTAATACCATTGGCTCTGAGTTGCAGTCTAGTGATAGCTCATAATTTCTCTGCATCCTTTTTCATACGTAGGAAATACACTGTTTATGTGATAAGTGTCTCTAGGTTGCACAGTGAATTAAACTTTATCTAAATTTGTTTTTTCCCTCCCCCCTCAGTGAGAGTAGCATGTTTGTCTCCAAGAGACGTTTCATTTTGAAGACATGTGGTACCACCCTCTTACTGCAAGCACTGGTTCCCCTTTTGGAGCTTGCCAGAAAGCACAGTGGGTTTGACTCCATTCAGGTAAGATGTGAAAAATATACTACCATAAATCCTTTAACTCCCATTTAGCATGCATTCTTCTATAGTTTATTTAATGCAACTCCTCTTCTATAACATCTTTCTTCCAAACTCATATCCTACAAGTACTTGCATTTTATAGATACAGCTTTCTACTTTTTTAAATGTTATCAAGTCTTTTTTCTTTCAACTAATGCATAGGTCTGTTTGAAACCAAGATTCCCTCAGTGTGGATAGGGAATAAGTACTACTTGTTGTAAAGTGATGGGTTGCAGTGTACAAGTCCTAGATGAATAAGGTACTAATGTGTGAATATTCACTTCTGCCTGGATGTACAAGACTTAGAAAAGTGTCGCTTTGTTTTTTTCTTAATGATGGTGAGCAGAGAGCCATATGCAAGTTTAAACTTGAACCTATGTCTAGGATACCTAAGAATACAATATGCTGTATGTCTTTACATTTTTTTGTTGCTTTTTGCCTTTTTTTCAGAGCTTCTTTTATTCACGTAAGAATTTTATGAAGCCTTCCCACCAGGAGTACCCGCATAGGAATTTCCAGGAAGAAGTAGAGTTCCTTAATGAAATTTTCCCAAGTGAGCTATTGTCATTTTCTTTTCACATATAATTGTCTAGTGGTTGTCCTTAATAACATGATGCTAATGAATGTGGCAGTCATGGTACCCTACATGCTAAATTGCTACAAGAGCTGTTGAGAACTGCACTGCAGGATTTTGCAGCCAGTGCAGGCTCGTCCAACATCGACTGCCTCTGCTAAAGACTGTTCCTTCTAACTGCTTGACCAATGTCCATGTGGGAGAGGTTACATGTTGCAAAATCAAAATTCCTAATAGGATTTAGTTTCAGGACTGAGACCTTGTTGTGCCTATTGCTGGCTAGGAAGCCCCTTTAAAAAAAGAGGAAGTCAAGAAGTTCCTTTAAACTAAAACTAGAATATTTTGAAAGGTGGAGTCTGTTTTATACATCTGACCACTTGATATCTAGCAGGGAAGTTCACTAAGTACTTACATGGTCACAGTAACATTTCCCTCTAATAGTTTCAGGAGAACAGTCCTGAAGAGGCTAAACCTGGTGGTTCTTGAGTCTCTTGTTGTGTAGGGGAACTTAACATTAAATGCATTTAGTCAGAAGAGACCTGTTGGTAACTGCTAGCTTCACAAATCTGCTTTGGATCTGAAATTTGAGCTCCCCCCCTTTTTTTCATATGATCACTAGCAAGCTCCTGCAGGTCAAATGAGAAAATTAGAAACCTGGAATATTCTGCTGTTTTAAGGTGAAACTTCAGAACTTGTCTGGAAAGCAGAACCAACAGCATTCATTACTAGCCATGAGAATCCAGGTCATGTTCAGGAACTCGGACTATGGATTTCAGAAATTTAAAGTAGTAGAATACTATCATTAGCAGGGATTTGGGTTTTCTGTGCTGAATGGGAAAGTGTGGTAAAACCTGGATTTCTTCAAAGGAGAAAAGCCTGACACATGGTTGGGCTTTTTTTTCCCTTGGAGGCTGGCAGAGTTTCAGCCTGCAAGGGGCTGGGGAAGTTGGGAGGAGGGTGTTCAGGCAGGGGATGACATGTGCATGTACAAATGCTCATGGCAGCCTGGAGAGCTGCTTCCACAGGTAGGCTGGGGGTGGGGGGAAGCTGCCCAGGTGATGCTTGGGGGGCCTGGGGCTGGAATTCCTGACTGTAGGACCCAGGTGGGGAGTGGGATGCAGCACACTTCCAGGGTGGTTAAGTGTCCCCCAGATCTGGCTGGGTGCAGGCCTGGGCTCCCTATCCTTCTCCTGGGGCCTCTGTAGCCTAGTGGGCAGGACCCATAGCACCAGGGCTGGACAAGGAAGTTCAGAGTTGCTGCTGCTGCAAGCCTATGCCACCATGGCAAGGGCCCCCTGCCTGCCTGGCAGCAATGGGGTTGGTGGTATGGAGTTGTGCCCCTTGCTTGCAGCCCTGTGCCATCATCATTATAAATTCAGAGTAAAAAAAAAATATAAAATTCAAGGTACTTTGAAAGTAACTTGATGTTTACTATTAGATGGAAACCTAATATGGGAGAAAAATCACATTTTATCCATATTAACCAGATGCACACTCAGTCAGGGTCCCTGGTAGGCCTCTTTAAGTGAGCCATTGCTATTTGAGGCTTTTATCATGCTTAGGTGACTGACAGCTATAAGTATTCTAATGGGTCACAACCCTAACTTCCATTACCCTTACGAGTATCTAGAGCCACCTTTTGGGAAAAGATTGTCTCTAATATGAGTGAGAAGTATAGCAGTCTCAATTCAAAAGCAACAACAGTTCTGTAAAGCCAGGCTTTTGAGCATATTTCTAAGCTTGAAGAGGTAAGGACAGTACCTAACAAGTGGAGAACAGACCAGCTAGTGACCCATGTATTACTTTTGCTACATTGACCTTGTTAAGAACACCAATTTAGTTTAGTCGCCTTGGCTAGAAAGGGATCCACTAGGTTGCATTAACTGGTGACTTTTTTTCCGTCCCCAAATAGATGGAGCAGCTTATTGCATGGGGCGTATGAATTCTGATTGCTGGTAGGTGTTTTATGACTTTGAGATCTATCTTTGTGAAAGAAAGTTCAATTTGAAAAGGTGCTGCTAGTACCTATTACAGGAATGCGATTTTGTCTTTTTTAAACAGGTACTTGTACACTCTGGACTTCCCAGAGAATCGGGTAATCAATCAGCCAGATCAGACACTGGAAATTCTGATGAGTGAGCTTGATCCAGTAGTTATGGACCAGTTCTACATGAAAGATGGTGTTACTGCAAATGATGTCACTCGTGTATGTCTGCTTGGAATTTTTAATATGATACGAGAGGAAGCTGGGGATCTGTAGTTTCACTTCTCTTATACCACAAGATGTAAAATTGTCTGAATAGTTTGCAGGGGCTTCTTCTGAACCAAAATGGGCTTACTTTGGAGATGACGGTTCCTTTTTTGTAGGGGAGAACACCCTGTATGTGTAGAATCTCCTGTGGCGATGCAGTTATAGTATTAAAGCTTCTGGAGGGAGCAACTTTTAGCACTTTATTTTCAAAAGGGAGAAACAAATCAGCTTTTGTGGCAGTCAATCAAAATTCAAATTTTAAAACATCTCCCTTAACACTATGGAGTCATTTTAAAGAGAATGAGTGTGTGCATGGGGAGGAAATTCTCCCATGTTAACAATAACATTTGGGCATAAACTGGCCCATGATAGTCTTCCAAAAATAGTAGCTCAAAGAAGAGGTTGACTTGATGTAATGTGTTTTGATGGATTTCCCGTCCTCCCATCCCCTTCTAACATCAATTCCAATTTACTGTAATTCATTTTAAGCATATGACTGGTGCAGGCTTTGTCTTGGGAAGCTAGGGACTTTATGTAGCAGCCCTGTTCATGGAGTACAAATGGAAAAATATTCAGAGCCTAGAATGTAGCCAAGTAGTTCTTGTTTTCAGGTACTGGTTCAACAAACTATATTTGCCTCTGCCCCAGCCATAAATAAAAGTAATTGCATCCCTTAGTCTTTAAACTTATTCAACTGCTGCTCACAGAACTTTATATTTGTCCCTCACATTAATGTGAAGATGACTTAATGGCTTGAGGAAAAGTGGTTAGACTAATTGGCTTGGTGCGTTAGACAATTTTAGGTATGGGTTGGGCTGCATATAAGTCCTGTACTATAGCATACTTGATTCCTTATCTGTGTAAGGAAGAATTCTGCAAATATCATCTTAGCGCTAATTTAGGAAACAAAGCTATTTCTTTTAGAGCTATACTAGAATTTCAGGAGCTTAAGTGAGTGATTGTAACACATGTCTCTTTTCAGATGAGTGGAATTCGTGACCTGATACCAGGTTCTGTCATTGATGCTACAATGTTCAATCCTTGTGGGTATTCAATGAATGGGATGAAATCAGATGTAAGCATTACTTTTTGCTTTCACTTGTTGACTGTTTGAATTTGAAATTAAATGTATAGTAACCAATTGCAATTAAACTATTCTCCAGGGAACTTATTGGACTATTCACATCACTCCAGAACCAGAGTTTTCTTACGTTAGTTTCGAAACCAACATAAGTCAGACATCCTATGATGATCTAATTAGAAAAGTTGTGGATGTTTTCAAGCCGGGGAAATTTGTGACCACCCTCTTTGTTAATCAGGTACAAGTATTTTTTGTGTCCCTCTCTTCCCCCTCCCGGTAACAAAAACACACAAAATAAGGGAACTTAAGGTGCAGAAGTTGAGTAAGTGTCATTGCTTTGAAATTGTTTTTGCACTTGTGCAATGTTTTCTAGTTTTTTCAAATTGATGAAATATGAACTTTACTAAAGCAAATGTGAAGAAATATTCACAGTATTTGGCATTAAAGCTTGACAAGTACTAAACCTAAAGCTCAGTAAACCCAAGCATCAGAACAGGGCATGGGCTCCAGCTTTTTCAGAAAATTTTGAAGGGACAGATAGTCGAGCCTTAATATTTTCTTGTCACCTTCTAAAATGGACACCATGAATGCCCAAGCAAACACTTGTGGAACACTTGGCCATAACAGCAATGTGTCTACATTCAGCAGCTATACTAGTTCTCTTTGTTAACTGCTGTAGGAGCATTATAAATTTAAAAAAAAATCTGCAGAGGAATTTAAATTGTGTTCAGGTCTAGACAAAATTTGAATCTTACAGCACAGAACCAGGCACTTGCTTTTTATAGGCACATCTCAGGAACTTATCAAAAACTACACAGTAGGAGCTAGCTCTTGCTTACTCTTGTAGAGGGTAACGAATCTTAACAATTTTTGTTTGTTTTTTTCCTAGAGCTCTAAATGTCGTACTGTGTCGTCTTCTGCCCAGAAGATTGAAGGGTTTAAAATTCTTGACCGCCAGATTGCTCAGTTCAGTGATTATAATTTTGTTTTTACAAGTTTTGCCAAAAATCGGCAGCAACAGCATAGTTGATTAAGAATGAAGAAAAAACGCAAAAAGAGATCCCGTATAGAAGGTGGTGGCTGCTTTCTAGATAATGATTCAGGGGGCCATGCTTTCCATTCCCACCATCTTGTAGTTGCGGAAAGCCCTAGATGTAATCATAGTATAATCATTTTGAATTGTATGCATTATTATATCAAGAAATTAGATAACTTGCATGAATGCTCTCTTCTGTGTTTAGGTATTCTATGCCACTCTTGCTGTGAAATTGAAGTGCATGTAGAGAAATCTTACTATATGAGACATTACAACACTTGGAAAAATGATTCAAATAGGATTATACACAATACAGTTTTCCTCCAGGTATCACCAAAAATTCCCCACAGACAAGGCTTTCGTCCTCATTAGACTTTGGCCTCAGCCTACTCACTGGGACAGCTCTTTGTTAATTTGCCACCGGGTACTCTTCATCTATGCTCTAATACCAGTTTCTAGGCCACACTTCTTGGGTTTTTTTTTATTATTTATTTTTTAACCAGTATGCTCTCTAATGGAGCTGACTTCTAGTTCACACTTCAGTGTTTGAAGCAAAGTTCCTTTACCTGATACAGTTAAGAAAGGCAGAACACAGACTACTACAGGTGGTGGGGGATTTTCTTTTGAGGCATAAAATTGCTTATACTTCTAGTCCTCAAACTCATGGGATTTTGTTCAGAATGACTAATGGACAATATACAGCAATACTGGATTAATGCACTAGCTGTTCACTTCTAGAAGCCTGAGCTGACATTTTAATTCAGGTCATAATTTGACAACCTCCTTTTGTCCCTTTTTAATATGCCAAAGTTGACACTTGTCTATGTTTCCAAACCACCACACTTCTACATATGGCAATCTATACTCCCAAAGAGGTCCAAGTTAGAATATAGGTGCTTTGGTAGAGTTGTAACAGTTTTGTACAAAGTACCAGTTCAGTCATGACTTATTGCTTATTTTCAGTTCTGCAGTTGTCAACTTTAAGCCATCTTTAAGGTTGACTTCCTGAGAAGCTGATGCTCTTAAATCTACCCATAGGTAGAACCTAGCAAAAAGATAGTGGAATTTACCAGGCTGGGTATGTTGCTCAGTTTGGGTTTATTAATAATTACTACATTAATTGTCATTTCTAACTGTAAAGAATGCTTCTAAACTCGTCCAAATGTCCCTTCACTTTGTTCCAAGCAAAATCAATGCCTCTCGTGACTGAAAGTCCTGTAACATTGTTGTGCATGTGACTTATGCTGTATTGATGGTGTTGTGACTTCATCTGTTCCTCCTAATTAATGAGGTAATTTCTTTTACTATGACTTGAGGGCATTAAGTAAATTACTGCATAGAACAAGAGCTGTCTGGGACACCTGCGGACAGTGAGGTAGAATGCTATTCATAGAATATAAATAATTCTAGAAGTCACTTAATGGGTATTGACTAAAATGTAGGCTTTAAACAGTTGGCAAACTTGCAGCTGTGTTTGCAGATACTATGGGATTTTTGCAGCTGCAAGACCAGCAAGTCGACTACAAATTTGACACTTTCCTCTGTCCTTGAAATATTGTTTTGACTCTGGATTGATGCAATGGTGGAGTTTATTTTGTTCCTTCTGTATTTAAAAATGAAGCACTTTTTCCCTTTTTTCTTTAGTGTTTCTATACTAAAATCCACTTGGTGGGAAATCAGGTGGTTGGAACAGTTTTGATTTTATATTTTAAGCATATTGGTGATTAAAGATCTCTACCAGTACTATCAGTTATACTGTAAATGGCACCTAATGATTGCTGGTGCCTTACTGAGGACCAATTTTTTCATTGTTTTTTGTTGAACAGTGTCCCAACTGATCTTGACAATTTGTTGGCTTGAGGTCCTATAATGCAAGTAAACAGAAAATCCCATTTTTCTGAGAAGTTGGAAAAAAATACACAAACTTTCTAAAAACAGCCTTGGCTAGAAAAAAAATGAAAACTGTTTGAATGAATTTATTGAACTATATAGGGTGATCAGGAGAGGGGAAAGCAAGGTGTTATAATTTCTCTCTCTGTGGTGTTAGGCTTTTATCATTTAAAAATATCTGTACCACAACCTAATGCTTCAATAAAAGTTTGCTTAATAAATTGTTTCTAGTGATGATACATCTTGCACCATTTTTGTACTGCTTATATTAATCTATTTCAGCTTGAAATCATCCAGTGTTTTTAAACTTACTTTGCCTTTTAGAAAGGATAAAGTCTATTCAGCATAAGATAAAGTGTGTTTAGCATAAGGTAGTCTAAAGTGAGTTGGCATGTGAAAGCACAAAACCAATGAGATGTTAACCTGCTCTGAAGTAGGTTAAACCCATTCATTCTAAATAAATAGTTATCCCACTACAATCTCTCCTATATTCTTTTCCTCCAGTCCTTACGTCTATAGGTATGTTTTGGTTTTTTTTTTTTTTATGGCTTAGGCAGACAAGGTTCTTTGCGTGAATCTGATATCTCTCTCTTATTAGACCAACTTAAATAGTTGGAAAATAACTATTTAAGCAAGCTTTTGGGTTCAAAAACCCTTTGTCAGGCTAAGGAAGTTTCAGCAGTTGGTGTGTGCTCTTCCTGAATGGAATGAAAAGTAAAGAAGCCAGAAGCTGGGCTGGTATGCATACCACCTGTTTTATGGCTACAGCCCTGTTTTATGGCTGAAGTATTCTAACACAACTTCAGGAATTAAATACCTTTCTGCAGGTATTACCTATTTAAAATAATCATGCATTATGGCATTCACTAGGCTCTCCAAAATGAAATGTCAATTATGATGACACAAGCTGACAAACTTACTCTGAGGATTTGGTTGATCCTGTTTCAACATTACATTGGCAGAACAAAATTAAAAACCTACTTCTCTGGGGACTTGAATTCCATGCCAGGTTTAGTGAAGCTGCATTTTGTCACTGAATCCTGAAATTGATTGGTTGCCTGAAGTCTGTGGCATTCTTCCTGTAGCACTGACTTGGCACAACTTGTTGGTTCTCGTGTGTGTGTGTGTGTGTGTGTGTGTGTGTGTGTGTGTTATGCCTATAACAAAAAGGGTGGGGGGAATGGAAAATAAATGAGGTCGAGTAAAACTGCTATAACATTTTTAGGACTAGATCCCTACATACTGCTACTTAGAATTTGGTAACAGTCACCAGGTTTAGCTGTTTATGGTGTCCAAGAGCTCTTTGTCACACTTGCAATAGTAAACTTAGAAGTGAGGATGTCCATAGGTACAAAATATTTATAGATGACTCATTCTGTTTATTTTCATAGAAATAAAGGGGCTGACTAACCAGAACTAGTTAAGCCTTAAGTTAAAGCAACATACTCTAGACAAAAAATTACTTGATACATACTCCCTTACAGGGCCATATTAGTCTTTTGTCCATACACACTTGTGATGGACCTTGTCAGCTAAGAAATGCATGCTTAGGGCATTGTTTTTTCCATTTGTCTATTTTAGGGGGGAGGGGGAGGGGGTGAGCTTGGCCACAAGTAAGATAAACTACTATGGAGTAGTTGCTTCTAAGGGTGGGGAAAGCAATTTTTTTTTAATCATACAATAACACTCTGTCCCCACCAGTTACTGAGACTGGCCTGGTGTATGGGATTCAGACTAAACTATGAGGTGGGATAGGATTGTATTTTGGTTTAACTCCTGCAGAAAGGCATAAACTTTTGTAGCCAATAGCCTTCATCAGTTAGCAACTGTAGCCTAGAAAAGCTTATGCCTTTCTGAACAAGTTTAGTCTTTAAGGTGCCACCCTGCTCTGCCTTCTGCCTGATTTGACACTAAGAGTTAGCTGCCTCTCAAGCAGAACAACTTCAAACTAGTCTGAAGCTGATGGACCACTGGAAAGCACTCCCAAGCTTAACTAAAGGATCCTACAGTCCTTGGTATCTTCTTCAAGACCCAGCTGTCTGTCTGGCACAACTTTTAAAAAAGGCTCTGGACTGAAAACAGGAGTGAGTTGGTGAAATTATTTGACTCTGATTGATTAACAGGGCATTAGACCACATATCATCCCTCACTTTCAGGAATAAGTAAAAATAGGAAAAATTGGATACTTCTAAATAAATGTATTTATAAAATACTAGGAGTTCTAACCTAGCAAATTTAAGGAGACAGTGGGGAAGGATGTATTTTTAGCACATGGACAGATTTTCAGGTTCCCAAATTCTTATAACTGTTTAAAATCCTTATTTCAATGCTATACTTCTGGCTTCTGGGGCCTTACTAAGCTAGTTTTGTGCTTCTTAGAAATGCTGCTTTCTAGAAATACTGCAGCTATCCAAAGTGGACTCTCTTACAGTATAGCTATAGAGGAATTAAAATGAAGATTATATCAAGGACACTTAAAATGTGTCAGCACATTAAAGCTCATTAAGTGCCCTCAGAGTCTCAAGGTTACACATTTCAGGCAACAGTCAGCTTTGGGTTATGCTACCCAGCTCATTTTAGGATAACTTCAGTCTGTTCCATGGAAAAAATAAGCAATTTGCAGTCCTACAGCATCCCAGAATGCACTGCTCCCAGCCTCCATGCATCACTTCCCCCTCCCCTCTTAACTTCTGGGTAGGGCCTGCTTGCTAGACCTCTATTGCTAGAGCTATACAAGCAAGAAATTATGTTAACCTTTAACATGTTAGACTATTCACAGTAGGTTTAGACTTTTACCACAACTT